CACAGAAATAGTACTCAACAAAATCCAGTGTCCTTTCATGATAAAAACCCTCAACAAACTAGGTGTAGAAGAAACATATCTCAGAATAATAAAAGCCATATGTGATAAACCCACAGCCAACAGCCAACATCATGACAAACGATTTAAAAAGATGGAGACTTTACATCTTTTCTATTAACTTAGATGGAGCTGGAACACATTCTTCTTTGTAAAGTATCACAAGAATGGAGAAGCAAGAATCCAATGTACTCAATTCTAATATGAAGCTAGTAGATGATGTAATACACACTCACATAAGAGAAAAATAAATTCAAGATGGCAGTGTGGGGGAATGAGAGAATGGGAAGAAGGGAGGATGGATGGGGATGGGGATGGATGTACTCCCATTTAATGGGCACAATGTTAGGATGTATGGTGGCACACATCTTCGGTATGGAAGCAATTATAAGAGGGTCTTTACCTAAGAAATGTAAACATTGTAACCTAATTCTTTGTACTCTCAATTAACCTGAAACAATAAAAAAAGAAAAAAGAAAGAAAGAAACATCATACCAAATGGAAAAAAGTTGAAAGCATTCTAAGAACTGGAAGAAGACAAGGATGCCCACTATTACCACTTCTATTCAACACAGTGCTGGAAGTCCTAGCCAAAGCAATCAGACAAAAGAAGAATATTAAGGGTATCCACACTGGGAAAGAAGAGGGCAAATTATTATTCTTTGCTAATGATATCTAGATTCCACAAGAGTGGAATTGATAAATAAATTCAGCAAAATTCAGGATATAAAATCAATATACATAAATCAGTAGCATTTTTATATACTACTAATGGTCTAGCAGAGAGTCAGATCAAAGACTCAATACCATTGATAACAGCTACAAAGAAAACAAAATACTAGGAATATACGTAACCAAGGAGGTAAAATATCTCAACAAGGAGAACTATGAAACTCTGAGAAAAGAAATTACAGCGTATACAAACAAAAGGGAAACATAGCATGCTTATGGATAGGTAGAATAAACATCGTTAAAACTTCTATCCTACTCAAAGTGATTTACAAATTCAATGCAATCTCCATCAAATTACCAAAGCCAAACTTTACAGATCTAGAACAAATAATTCTAGGCTTCATTTGGACTAGGAAAAAGCCTGAATAGCCAAATCAATGTGAACTAAAAAGAACAAATCTGGAGGCATCACATTACCAGACTTAAAACTACACTACAAGTCTATAATAACCAAAACAGCATGGAATTGCTACAAAAATAGAGACATACATAGACTAATGGAACAGAACTGAGAATCCCAGATATAAAACTGTCTACCTATAATCAACTCATCTTTGACAAAACAGACAATAATGTGCACTGGGTAAAAGAAGCCCAATTCAATGAATGGTTCTGGGAATATTGGATAGCCACATACAGAAGAATGAAACAGGACCCTTACCTCTCACCATCAACAAAAATTAATTCAAGATGGATAAGAGACTTAGATCTAAGGAATGAAATTATATGAATCCTAGAGGAAAATGCAGGTAAAACTCTTCTAGATATTGGCCTATGCAAAGAACTTACAAAAAAAGACCCCAATGACAATCATGGCAACAAGAAAAATTAATAAATGGGATTTGATTAAACTACAAAGCTTCTACACAGCTAAGAAAACAATCAACAGAACAAATAGACAACCTATAGAATGGGAGAAAATATTCACAAGCTACATATCCAGTAAGGGGCTAATAACCAGAATTTACAAAGAACCCAAGGAAATCAATAACAACAACAACAACAACAACAACAAAAGAGCCCTATTAAAACATGGCCAAAACATGAACAGAAGTTGATCAAAAGAAGAAAAACAAATGGCCAATAAATGCATGAAAAACGCTTAATGTCACTAATCATCGGGGAAATGCAAATTAAAATCACAATGAGATAGCACCTTACCCCAGCTAGAAGGGTATTTATCACAAAGTCCAAAAACAAAACATGCTGGCCTGATGCAGAGAAAAAGGAACATTTATACACTGTGGCTAGGACTGCAAATTAGTACAACCTCTATGGAAAACAGATTCTTCAAAGAACTAAATGTAGACCTGCCATTCAATCCAGCAATCCCACTGCTGAGTATCTACCCAAAGGGAAAAAAGACTTTTCCTCAAAATGATATCTCCACTTGAATATTTACTACAACACAATTCACAACCACAAAGATGTGGAATGGATCCAAGTACCTATCAATTCATGAGTTGATTACTAAAATCTGGGGTATATATATATATATATATATATATATCATGAGGTACTATGCAGCCATAAACAAATGAATTAATACGTTTTGCAACAATCAGGATGGAACTGGAGACCATTCTCTTAAGTGAAGTGTTTTAAGGATGGAAAAACATTACATGCACTCACTATTAAGTTGGAACTAACAAATTCACAGAGGGAAATAAAACTCAATGGAAATCAACCACAGAGGAAGAGAGAGGGGAGAGGCAAAAACCTACCTACCTAGCACTGTGAACACTATTTTGGTGATGGACACATCTTTAGCTGGGACTCAAGCATTACAACAATGATTAATGTAACTTAAAACATTTGTATCCCCCTAATATCTTGAAATTTAAAAACTGAAATAAAAATAGGCATTTTCTACATAAGCACAATACCATTACCATACCTAATAATTATCTAATATCATCTAATACCCAGTCCAAATTCAAATTTCTTCTGTAGTCCCCAAGATATCTGCCCTATTTAACAAGAATCAACTGAGGAGAAAGCATGCATTTGGTTATTGTGTCTCCTAAATTTCTTTTTTTCTTTTAGATTCTTTATTTGATAAACAGAAAAACACCTGTACAGTTTCTCACATTATTAAGCATAAAAAAGCAAACAAAAACATATACTGGGAAAAGAACGCCCTGTTCCATATACGTTTCTGTGAAAACTAGAGAGCCACATGCAGAAAGGTGAAGCTGGATCTCTATTTCTTCCTACATTAAAAAAAAAAAAATTGACTCAATATGGAGTAAACACTTCAATGCAATCCCTGGAAGAATTAAAACAATCAAGAAAATCTAGGGAAATCTCTTCTGGGCATTGGTGTAGGCAAAGAACTTATGACTAAGACTCCAAAAGCAAATGCAAAAAGAACCAAAAAAAAATAGACAAATGGGATTTAATTAATCTAAATTTCTTTTAATCTCGAACATTCCTCCCTCATTATACCTTTAAGAAAAAAAGACACCAATTTATTTAAGAGACTGAGCCATTTGTTCAGTAGGATGTCCCACCATTTGTTCTGGGTTTTTCTGATTATTTCCTCCTGATGTCATTTTATTCTTCTATCCTTGTAGTTCCCAAGCCAGGAAGATATATTTAAAAGCATGATTGTGTTGCGGTTAAAGATTTTTTGAAACAATACGTCATAGATGATGGTGGAGCTTCGTATTGCATTACATTGGGAAATAATATCAGGTTTGTTTACTTTCAGTGGTGATAAGATTGATTTGGGTTAAGGTGGGAGGAGCAAGATTTCCCGGTGTGGTTACATTTTTACCCTGCTGACCAGCAGCAATCCCTGGGGGATGATTTGGCACCAAGAGAAAATCCAGTTTCCGAACACCCATTCATCAAATCGCTTCCTTCATTGATAATCCTGGGAATCAGTTACGTCATTAGGGGCTGCGAAATGGTGATCTTTCTAACGCTATCATTTATTTTACATTATTTAGCTGGCATACTTTTGTAAAGAGAACTGTTTCCTCATCAAACTGTGCTATTTGATTACCTTGAAATACAACTGCTACTAGAAAAGCAGCATAAATGTTTAATTTACTTTCTTAAGTTACCACTTTTCAGAGTAAAAAATTGGTGTAATAGTCACCACCAATAGTTTGGCAAATGGTATTTTTTTTTTCGTTCGGATTATTCCTTTGGGGGGATGACTTTTTATGTTTAATGTTTTCAATCATTCTGCAGTTTGCAGTCATTGTTATTTTTGGTGCTCAAATTATTCTAATTATGGCCAGAGGACGATACCTCAGTCTGCCTCTCCCCTCCTTTGGAAAGGATCTCGTTTTTTTTGAGATGCGTCCAGACTTTCTGGTACAAAGTGTTCTAATCTGTCCTTACTCATTCTCCGCTCCTGCTTTGGCATCAGCCATCTCTCCAAGGAGCCCTGGTATTTTTTAGTGGGGAGTAGTATTTAGAGATCAGCATCCCGTGCCAAAGATAATCAGTACTTCTTGGCCCTGCGTTCATATTCTTATTTTCATCCCCAAATTAACAATATAACGTTGTTTATTTGTGACCATAACTTATATTATACTCCTATTTAAATAGAGGAAACGGCCAGAGGTGCCCAAGGTTGTGCTAGTTAACAGCAGCGACGGGATCTAAACCGGTGCACGTTAGCTCCATCGGGAAAGGGAGCCCCTGGCATTAACAGGGGCTTCTCCTAGAGGCGAAGGGACCTTGGAAAAGTTGACAGGTTGCTGACCAGTTTTTTTGGGGGGTGGAAACAAGCAGGTGGGGAGAACGGATCCGTCCCTTTAAGAGGAAAAGGCAGGACTGGGCAAGCTGCTGGGTGAGAAAACCGTCCCGGGCATTTCACCTCAGATCTGACCAGAGTTCCCTGAAGCTCAGAAATCTCCAAAGAACTGCAGGAGCGTACCCCAAAGAGAAGCCAGCCGAGAACAGCGACCCTCCGCAGAAACCCGTTCACCGGACCTGACCCACTGGCGCGTAGTGCCCGCCCATCAGCCAATCAGAGGGAGCCATCAACAAGCGGGCGGGACATGAGAGCAGCGTGTCCAATGAAAAATCAGGCCCGGGTCGCCTCAGGACAGAGCTTTCCAGAGTCTCCGCGGAGGGCGGAGAGGAGATAGTGAGACTTGGCCAATCAAAGGGGGCGACTCACGTCGATGGGGGCTAGAAGCCAATCAGAAGAGCTCTCGTTCCCGACTCCCCTGGCCCACGCTTCCCGCCAGTCCTCTAACCCCGAGGAGTCGGCGGTGATCGGGCAGGGGTCGTTGGCCGCTACGCTCGCACTTAGCTACTTACACCTCTGCTCCGGATCCCCAGGGCTGTGCGGGACATGGCGAACTCGGGCTGCGAGGACGGCCAGGGTGGGGAGGAGACTTTTTTGTACTTCGCCTACGGCAGCAACTTGCTGACGGAGAGGATCCACCTCCGGAACCCCTCGGCCGCGTTCTACTGCGTGGCCCGCCTGCAGGTGAGTGACCCTCGCCCGTCCCCTGCGGCGTCGAGCCCGACGGGACTAGGGTTCCCAGAAGGCACTTACTCGGGGGCACACGAGGGCGGAATGGTCCAGGAATGCAGTTCTTCCTGGTGAGGGTACATCAGGATTCTTGGGTATCTGGCTTCGGCCTCCTGGGCGAGTCCACCCCCTCCGCTGCTCTCTCTTCCCTCGCTGCCCTATACCTGACCCCTGCTGAACTGTGCTACCCAGCCACGGTGCCCTCTTGACATGTCTACCTGCGGCTCATTCTCAGTTTTGGCCGCCTCTCTCTTGTCCACTGACCTAGGGACATCCTCACACATCCCATTCAGTTGGCACATCTGAGAAGCCTTCTCGAGCCCCAGTCAGGGAGTGAGTTGTTTTTTGTTCTGTACATACGTTTAGTACAGGATTTGTCCCCTGGCATTGTAAAAATCCGTTTCCCTGTCTTTCGCCCTGGGAGGTCCTGAGAGCTGGAACCGTGTCTTATCCATGGTAATGGCAGTGCTCAGTTAGATCCAGTGGCTGGATGAGCCATAACCAACCTTGGTAAATCATTGTTCTTCAGTCCCATAGATTCATTCATTCAACACATATTCTTCAGGAACTTAACACTGAGGATTCAAAGATGATGGAGTAAAGTTGCTCTTTTGAGGCCCTCGCAGTCTATAGAAAAGATGTGCAGACAGATTATGTACAAAACCTTTTGACAGCATTGAACTAAACAAACATAATCTTTGCTAACCTCGTCAGAGTTCTTAGTTGCAAGCAACAGAAATTGGCTGATTTAAGCAAAAAAAAAAGAATGTGTTGAAAGCTTATTGGATAGCTCACAGAATGACCAGGAAGGCAGGAGTACAAAGCTGACAAAACAAGCAGGCATTAAAGGGAGGTACACCAACCATAACGCAGAATCAGCCCACGGAGCCTCTGTCTGCTCCACCACCACTGAACTTGGTAAACGTGGATGCTGTATTGTGCATTACCCACACCACCTGCACTGGACCCTGCCCAATACTGTACTACATCCCTGCACATCTAAAACCCAGATGTGTCAGCAACCACCAAAGTGGAGGCCCTCCTCTCCTTGGGCACTTGCTTCTAATTCAGAGTCCCAGGATGTCCTGATTGGTTAAGGCTCAGCCATGTACCCATGCTCTGACTTCAGGCAAGAACCAACTTCTGGCCTTTGAAGCTTCAAAAATGGGAGTTAGACTTCAGTACTCCTTATCTCCAAATTTGTAAGATAGGGAATTTTCCAAATGTAAAGAGTTCAAAGAGAGTTCAAATGCCTATCAGTCAGGGGGAAGAGATACTAAACAAATTATTATTCAGTTACAGGTACAGTCATTCTTAGAAAGGATATGCAAGATGCAATGGAGTATTTTACTGGGGAAGCTGACCCGATCAGGATATTCAGGAAAGTCTTCCCTGAAAATATAACTTTTAAGCTAAGACCTGAGTAACTGGAAAGTAAACAAAACAGGGAACAGCATCTACAAGAACCTGAGGAAAGAGGAAGCTGTATCTTCTAGCCATTGTGGAAAGGGGATAGGGAAGGGCCAGCTCTTACAGGACCACAAAGGCCAAATAAGACTCAGGACTTTATTTTAAAAGCAATGAGAAGACTATTGCAGAACTGAAGCAAATGAAATGTCAGATTTATGTCTTTGAAAGCTAATTCTATGGAAAATGATTTGAAAGGGAGCAAGAGTAGATGTGGGGAGCCCATTTAGGAAGTTTTTGCAGCAATTCATGTTAAAGATAACAGTCCCTGAACTAGGTGGTGGCAGAGATGGATAGATGGATTTGAGAGCTATTTAAGAGGTACCACTGTTAAAGGTTGGTGATTAAGTGTAAAGGCAGTATCAAGGACAATCCACTTTTTTGGTGCAAGGTAGATGATAATAAATGTCGACAGAGAAAAGAAGCGAATCAAATTTGGGAAGGAAAAATCATAAGTTCACTTTGAACATCCTAAATTTAAAATGCTTACTAGGTAGTCAAGGGAACAGAAAAATATTAGTAAACATTTATTAAGCACTTACTGTGTGCTACACCCTGTTCTAAGCACTTTTGAAGCTCAGAAGAGAAATTCAGGCTGGTTCATAGATGATTGGAATATTAGATGGTATTTGAAGCCATTGGAGGCAATGAGATTATCTTGGGCAAACTGCAGAATGAATAGAGGAAATGACCCAGACTGAGCCCTGAGAAACTCCCAACATGTCAAGGTTAGGTATTGGAGGAGGAGCTGGCAAAGGGAATTGAGAAGATCAGGGGACAGCCTGAAAGTCAGAAACCAGGCAGACCAAGAGAGGGTGGTTGTCTGTGTCACCAGCAGCTGAGAAGTGGAGCAAGATGAGGATTGAAAATTGTTGACTTTAAAAAAAAAAAAAAAAAAGAAAATTGTTGACTTTAGCAACACACACCCAGTCCCTCGTGTGGGTTTTAACTTTATCAGATCTTACTGATATTCTGCCAAGGATACTTGGTCCTAAAAGAACATAGAGTGTGCTGACTGCAGGTAGTGCTCACTCAAACCAACTTTATTCCTGAATAGCTGACCAGGTTTTTGAGAAGATACAAGTGACAAGAATAAAATATAAGCCTAGAAAGGACCTCAGTGTTATCATTTAGTCCAGCTTTTATTTTTACTAGTAAGGAAACTGAGATCCAAAAAGATAAAAAGAAATCTTCCAACACCAAGCAAACCAACTAAGGATTTTTAATATTCCTTGGGACTCTATTTCCTGATTACCCACCTCTGTGAGGAAGGAAGCTAAACTAGACACCTGGTTCTATTACTCATTGGTTGTGAGACCTATAATAAAGTTGCTGGCAGGATAAAAGGAGATAATCCATATAACACTAATAACACAGTATATTATACCCAATAATTTTTCATTCAGTGTTAACCGCTCTTACTATTACTATAGATAAATTAGTACAGTTCATGAATATTAATGTTCATAAGTATACAAATCATCCATCCTCAAGTGCCAGCTCCCTTAGGGCAAATATGATGATATATGCTGGTAGGATACTCTACAGACATAAAAGTAGAAAAAATATAACCTCCATGTAGCCATCACTCAGCTTGTCTCTGAGTAAACATACGTGTAGGAAGGAGGACAAGGAAGTAATTTACAAAAATAAAAGTAGTTTGTGTTAAGGCATTGGGGATTGTAGGACTTTTTTTCCCTTAAACCTTTTGTTTGGGCTCGGCGCCTATAGCTCAACCGGCTAAGGCGCCAGCCACGTACACCTAAGGTGGCGGGTTCGAATCCCCAGCCCGGACC